ATGCCTGCGCCAGGGTTCTGAATTTGAATGGACTGAGAAGGCCCAGCAAAGCTTCGTGGATGTAAAGAAATGCTTAGTGGACAGTACAGCACCTGCTCTGTTTAACCCAGAACTGCCAGTCACAGTGTCCACTGATGCATCTGATTATGGTCTGGGAGCAATATTATCGCAGATGCACCCAGATCACAGTGAACGCACTGTGGCATTTGTATCACTAAACTTAACTCCAACTGAAAGGCGTTATTCAGCTGTGTAGAAGGAGCCATTAATGTGTATATGGGCAGTCGAAAAGTGGCGCACATACCTCTAGAGCCGGACGGGCCAGGATGCGGATTGCGGGTAGTCAGCTCGCCTTCTGTGCTTCACTTACAATGTGGTGTATCGTGCTGGATCATCAAACCATGCTGCGGGCTGACTGTTACAGTTACCCCTTCCTCTTACCTCTGCTTCCAACCCTGTTTATGAACCAGAGCTAGTTGCACTGCTGTCTACCACCTTGACTGCGATTTCCCCAAGCGAGTTTAAATTGAGTTTCTCAGTGGTGTCTTTAGTTGCCATGGTTACCCGGTAGAGTTTGTTACAGATAATGTTCACTTTGAATTGAATTCACTTTGAATGTATTTACAACCTTTCTGAGAGAACGAGGTATTACTCTAATATGCACAGCTGTGTAACATCTAGCGGCGAATGGTGCTATAGAATGCTTTAACAGGGTTCTTAAAGACTGTGTACAGTCAGCTATAGTACAGTTCAAGCCATGGAAGTGCACAGTTACTGACTTTCTCCAATTTTACAGCTCTACTCCCCATGCCAGCACAGGAGCTTCACCCTTTGAACTGCTCCATGGGTGGAAGATGAGAATAAAACTGAAAATTGCACTTCATCCTCCTGCCAGCACTCTCCACCCAGCAACTGTTTGTAATCGAGTTGTCCTTAAGCAATCACAGATGAAGCACTACACCAATGCTAAACGTAGTGCACAAACAATTCTCATCCAGATAATGAACTCAGAGGTGAAAGACTGTACCTCACGTTGGTTTTATACGGATTACTTTATCAGAGAATATTTGTTTTTGGCATGACTTACTTCATTTAAAAGTAGACACTTCAAGCTTTCTTTAGATATACCTCTTCTGTGCTTCAGGAAGATATTTGCAGAGAATAAGACTGCAGAATGTGCTACCTATTTGTTTTCTTTATTTTACAAAAGCACAATTGTAATACAGTTCGTTTAAGATGAAGGACAAGGAAGTCAGGGGTGGCGAGTAAACCTCTTTATTCACTCCCAAATAAAACAGAACAAAAAATAAAGTGCTGCTCAGCTCTCTGCCTGCACAGTCTGGTATAAGGACACACACACGCACTCTGCTCCGACTCTCTCTCAGATGCAGCTCTCCCCTCTCCCCGGTCTGCGGGGCGCTTATCTCTCGTCTCTCCCCAATCACTGGAATTACAGGCAGGTGTTAATCATTATTCAATTGACCTCCTTATCACCGCTCGTCTCCAAACCCTTTCTCCCGCTGCAGCCTTTCGCCTTCTCACGCCCCCCTCGCCACATACCCCCACCGCCCGACTCAGGCCGGGGAGCCATCCGGCCTGCAGCCCCTCCCCCCCCATTCCTAGAGAGAAAGTCGGCCACAGCCATCTGGGCCCCCGGCCTGTGGACCACCTTGAACTTAAAAGGCTGTAAAGCTAGATACCAACGGGTGATCCGCGTGTTGGTATCCTTCATACAGTGGAGCCGCTGGAGGGGCGCGTGGTCCGAACAGAGAGTGAATTCCCGTCCCAGAAGGTAATACCGCAGGGTGAGGACGGCCCACCGAATGGCCAAACACTCTTTTTCAAAGGTGCTGTATCTGGTCTCTCTCTTTGAGAGCTTTCAACTCAGCACCGGCTGCTCCTCTCCTCCGACCACCTGGGACAGGACTGCACCCAGCCCCTTGTCCGACGCGTCCATCTGCAACAACAAAGGGAGATCAAAGTTAGGAGAGTGCAAGAGCGGCCCGCCGCACAGGGCAGCCTTTACCTTGGTTAGGGCCTGTTGGCACAGCTCCGTCCACTGGACCGGATCTGGTGCTTCCCTTTTAGTGAGATCAGTCAGCGGGCTGGTGAGCTCCGAATAATTAGGAATAAACCTCCCGCCAATAATATCCTGCCAGCCCCAGGAACTGTCTCACCTCCTTTTTGGTCTTGGGACTTGGGCAAGCTGCAATCGCAGATGTCTTGTCAATTTGGGGACGCACCTGCCCATGACCCAAGTGGAAGCTCAGATATCGTACCTCCACATGCCCAATTGCACACTTCCGCGGCTTCGCCGTGAGTCCAGCCACCCTCAGGAATCTCAGGACAGCGCGCAGATGTTCCATATGCCACTGCCAATCATTACTGTGTATAATGATGTCGTCGAGATAGGCAGTGGCGTACGCGCTATGTGGCCGGAGAATCTTGTCCATGAGCCGCTGAAAGGTGGCGGGAGCCCCGAACAACCTGAACGGAAGAGTAACAAATTGGTGTAACCCGAACGGCGTTGTGAAGGCTGTTTTTTCCTTGGATAATGGCGACAAGGGATCTGCCAATAGCCTTTCGTTAAATCCAGTGTCGAGTAATAGCGAGCCGAACCTAACCGATCAAGCAGCTCGTCAACTCGGGGCATTGGATAAGGGTCAAATTTCGACACTGCATTCACCTTTCTGTAATCAACACAGAAACGGACGGAGCCGTCCGTTTTAGGCACTAAAACTATCGGGCTCGCCCAGTAGCTATGCGATTCTTCTATTACTCCCAACTCTAGCATGGCCGTTAATTCATCCTGTACCACTTTTTTCTTGTGTTCCGGTAACCGATAGGGGTGGCTGCGCGCCACTTCCCCGGGGATCGTTTCGATGTGGTGCTGTATGAGGTTCATGCGACCGGGCAGGGCTGAAAACACATCCGCAAAATCTGCTTGCAACTTGGCTAACTCAGTGAGCTGCAGCGGCGAGAGGTGATCTCCCCCGGGGACCAGAGCGAGCGGATTGGTTTTGACAGCCGCTTCTGGTCCGAGATCTTCCTCTGCCGAAACGGCTGCCGCTAACTCAACCGAGGTCACCTCATTCCAACGTTTTAAAAGATTGAGGTGATAAATTTGACATGAATTACCTCTGTCCATTCGCTTTACCTCATAATCGAGATCCTCCACTCGCCGTGTAACCACAAAAGGTCCTTGCCACTTCGCGAGTAAGTTAGAACTAGATGTTGGAAGTAATACAAGCACTTTCTCTCCCGGTGTAAATTGCCGCGCTCGCGTACCCCTGTTGTACAGCCGACTTTGTCTGTCCTGAGCATGGAGCAAATTCTCCATAGAAACCCGCCCCAGAGTGTGGAGTTTTGCTCGGAGGTCCATGACATACTGAATTTCACTACGGCTGTTTGAAACACCACGAACAACAGGGGCTCCAGCCATTTATACCAATTTTTGGCATCCTCCTTAACAAGCTTATGAACCATGGATTTTAACGTGCGATTAAATCGTTCCATCAAGCCATCTGTTTCTCGGTGATAGACACTGGTGCGAATCGATTTAATGCCCAGAAGTTCGTATAGTTCGCTTAACGTACGTGACATAAACGCCGTGCCCTGATCAGTGAGAATCTTCTTGGGGATCCCCACTCGGGAGATGACTCGAAACAGGGCGTCCGCCACACTCTTTGCAGAGATAGTGCGCAGCGGCACTGCTTCCGGGTATCGTGTTGCATAGTCCACCAGAACTAATGCAAAACGATGCCCGCGTGCTGAACGTTCCAATGGCCCGATGAGGTCCATACCAATTCTCTCGAAGGGGACCTCTATCAGTGGTAAATGGCCGGAGGATTTACCAGCTGACATTCACGACACCCCGCACACCACCGGCGGATGTTCTCGTGAATGCCCGGCCAAAAGAATCGGGCCATGAGTCGTTCACGTGTCTTTGCCTCCCCCAAGTGGCCTGCCATGAGACTACTATGAGCCGCCTGGAACAGCATTTCCCGACGGCTTTTTGGGACTAATAACTGGGTTGTATTATTTTTTTTTGGGGTATCTTGGGTCACCCGATACAACCTATTTTTTATAAGGGAAAAATAGGGATACGAGAGAGGTTGGTCAGGCTGGAGAAGCTGCCCGTCGATGGTGCGGACCCGGTCATACGCATTTCTCAGCGTCTCATCACGAGACTGCTCCAGCGGAAAGTCATCCAGCTCAGGGGATATAAGCTCCGCCCTCGCTCTCGTTTCCTCTGAGTCAGCCTGTGAAGGTCCCGAAACCGCATCTCCAGCCCGCGCCACCGCTTCTCCGTTTCCCAGCCCTGTCTCCCAAGAAGCATCCGCACACAAAACCCCCAATAATTGCGTAAAAGCTGGCCAATCTGTCCCCAAAATCAGTGGATGCCTAAGGTGGGAATTAACTGCCACCTTCATTCTATGCGTTTTCCCCCGAAATTTAATACTAACAGCCACTAACGGGTAGTCCACCACATCCCCGTACACACACCTCGCTTTAACCTTGCGGCTCGTATCCAACGCCCTTTGTTGCATCAGGCTTTCATGAAAGGAGGTTGGGTTACAGCCTGAATCCACCAAAGCCTGATATGTACCCCCCTTGATACTCACAGGTATTTGGTACAGACCGGCTTGATCGGGGGCAGCCACCGGGGAGTCGGGAACCCGGATCAACGCTCCCACCTCCATCATCGGAAACCGGTCCAGAAAATGACCCGGGTCCCCGCATCTCCAGCAGGCCGGCCCAGACCTTCCCGCCACCCCAGTGGCAAAAGGATGGCCAAGAGATTGGCGGAGAGAGGAGAAAGGCGGCGATGGAACGGCGGCTCCTGCGCTCTCCGCTACTTCCCCTCAAGGATCGGGGGTAGGAGGGGGTAGGATCAGTTAAAAAAAAATGCTTGATCGGCACCGATCCCGATCCTCGAGATCGGCTCGGGATATCCCTAGGACTAAAATAAGCAAACTGTCCAACGCCATCAGATAAAGATGCTAGGACAACAAGGTGAGGTGAGACAGTAATAGAAACACTTAGTTCTGAGTCTCTGGCCTGTGAGCGAGAGACGTCAACAGACCACGTCCTGAGTCTCCAGCTTCTGAGTTTGGTGAACAGCACATTCCAGGGCCCAGTTTATGTTGGGGCCCCTTTCTGACTGCAACAGTCGATAAAGGTTTGCAAAATTTTGATTGGATCTTGGTGGACTAACACAAACAAACTATCCAACACCATTAGATAAAGATGTTAGGAAACAGCCAGACACCTCTTAGGCCATGTCCACACGTACATGGGTATTTTTTATACAAAAAAATCTATATAAAAAAAATGTCCTTCCATATGAAGATGCAAAAGCATGCTATGAAGCACTGTCAAGAGCATGCCAAGCCAACAGGTGGAGATATAATCTCAACTGTAAAGCCATATTGGCCAATCAGAAGCCTGAAAATATTTCTAGTAGGAGGAGATAACAGCGCATGCCAAAATCTCCGGTTTCGCTCTCTACACTATAACACTGCAACCGGAGTTTTTGAAAATCTTCACCCTGGCAGAAGTTTTCAAAAATGTTCGGTTTCAGTGACCTGATGCTGCGTTTGCTTGTGGACGAACGGCCAAACCGCATAGAAAAAGCTGTGGTTTTGAAAATAACCACGTTCGTGTGGACAGGGCCTTAGAGGGCATGAAGAAGACCTCTGGTACCAAGCCCGGGAAGGACAGGACTTCTCATTGGTCTACAGGCAGTTTCTGCCCTTCACCCACCTAGAGACTGATTCCTAAGGTTTTTGGCCTATGACCGCCACTGAAAATTTCTTAGGATCTCCAGATGCAGCAGCAGTGGTTGAAACAAATAAAGATCACAAAGATCCATCCAAATCCATTCATAACTATGTTTTCAAACCATAAAACGGATACAAACTACAACACGCCCATCTTATACTTATATACTTATCTTATCTTATACAATCTCCTCCTCATCGGAAAGGGATAAAGGTACGCTTTCAACAGACACTGCTTGTTTTGAGTCTGCAGCCAACTACAAGGAAGGCAGCAACAGACACATTTGTTCTGAGTCTCCGGCACGTCCAGTGAGACACTAACAGATACATTCAGGTTCTGAGACTCTGGCCCATGAGGGAGAGACATCAACAGTCCACGTCCTAAATCTCCAGCTTTTGAGGCAGCAACAGATACCACCATGTTCTGAGCCTCCAGCCTGCGAGGAAAGAGATATTCTACATTCAGAGGTTTTCATCCAGCGAGACAACAACAGATGCAGCATGTCCTCTGTCTCCATCCTAGAGAGACAAAGTGGATTGACAAAGTTCTGAGTCTCTAGCCCAGAGAGGCAAAAGACATACAGACATTTGCAACAAGGTCAAGCTTCGGCGAGCAAACGTTCACTTCAAGGTACTTTCTTCTGCGTGTTCCAGATTAAGGACTTTCTGCACCTACTTCAGAGCCTCACCTGTGTGTTCCAGATTGTAGTACCCTTTGGTGCTCCAAGAGATCAGCATCTCACAACACTTTGTGAGATGCTACATTGTGCTACATTGTTACAAAACTGTAACATTGTGGAGAAGCTGGAGAAAACAGGCAGAGGCAAGGATCTATTTGCAGGTATTTCATGGAAAAACTAGAACAAACAATAAGCTAAAAACATATATGTTTATATATTGTGACGAGCGTCCCGAAGCTTCATCAGCGTCGCCCTGGAAACAAGCGAGGAGCACCTGGCCATCATCATCACAGGCTGATCGGTCACAGCTGCACCTCATCAGGCGGCGGCTACATAAGCCACGCAAGCCCTGCCATCTAGGAGATTCCTCCATGAGACTGAGCACTATAGGAGCATAGCAGTGTCCGTTCATGTATTAAGAAATCCCTACAGCATACATGATCACCCCTTAGCAGATCTATACAGGTGGAGCTGGGGAAGGTGGAAGGTTTCTGGAGTGCGCTGCAAAACTGCTACCACAAACATTAGCCAAATATTTGAATGTTGAGCAGCGAGCTCATTGGCTACCAATACAGGAGAGAACCAATCAGCTGTGCCATGTGATAATGATGTCATTAGGTCAGCGCTGCAAAACTGCTACCACAAACATTAGCCAAATATTTGAATGTTGAGCAGCGAGCTCATTGGCTACCAATACAGGATAGAACAAATCGGCTGTGACATGAGATGATGCTGTCATTATGTCATACTGAGTTAGATCAGTCGGACTGCGCCATCTAGAGTTTCATGCCAGAACTTTGTATTTCTGTCATGAGAACTCTCAGTGATTTGCATGGTAAAGTACCTGACAATGTTAATGTATTTGCTCTTGCATGGCGTAATAGATCTGCTACGCTGCTGCTGCTGTGGCAGAGCAAGTGCCGAGACTTGCTACTGCCAATACATCCACAACATGCTGCTGTGAGCATGTAAGAAATACTGCTGCTGCACATATTACATTAATAACCCCCCACAAAGCAGGAGACACAGAAATGAACAATACAAGCCAATATGTGCATGTCGCTGAGTATAAGGATATAATTGCATCAGAGCATACACATGTGTCCACACACATAAATATTAACAGACAGGATAAACAAGACACCCCCCACAAAGCAGATCTATTGCCAAGACATATGTACTGCTGCTGCTCCGAAGAGCCATGTGAACCGCATGTATTACTATTTTTGTGTGCCTGGGCTACCATGCCAACCGGCTTAACACTAGTGGCCTATGGCTATGTGTGCCTAGGCTACCACGCCGACCGGCTTAACACTAGTGGCCTATGGGCTATGTGTGCCTGGGATACCACGCTTACCGGCTTAACAATAGTGGACTATGACTATGTGAGCCTGGGCTACCATGCCGACCAGTTTAACTTTAGTCAGACGCACATTATGTTTAATGTTCATAAGTGTTAACAAGAATATGCATTGCAATCCAATAGATAAGACCCCAGCACTCACCTGAGCAAATGTCATAAATTATTCACTTGATAACTGTCATTAATATAGCAATATTCTCTAATTGTATAGAGCCATTAGGATCGAATACAGCACGTGCTTTCACGCTGCATGCAGCTGAAATCGACTGCACACTTACCACAGCTGATAAAACATCAACCTTAGATTTAAACAAACATGACATTGATATTACGCCGCTGAATATAGCGAACCCTGGTTGAAAGCATACACAAGAATTCTTATTTCATTTAGCCTGTTTTCATGTCTGTTACTATCAGTGTATCCTCAGAGCAATTACATGCTCTAGACTGCGTTTTCTCCAGCTAAATAAACACAGATGTGTAAATGCTGCTGCTAATATACTTAATATTTCACTCCTGCATACGATGGAAACTGCTAACATGACACTTATTTTAACCTTGTTTATGGTTGTTCGTTTTTTAATTCTATTAGGCAGACCACGCAATACACACAACGATATGGATTAAAAGAGCATTGACTTATCTTAGATGTTGATTTAGACGTTTTTAGAGTGCGCTGCAAACTGCTACCACAAACATTAGCCAAATATTTGAATGTTGAGCAGCGAGCTCATTGGCTACCAATACAGGATAGAACCAATCAGCTGCCATGTGACAATGTCGCCAGGTCAGATTGAGCTAGACCTATCAGACTGCGCCATCTAGAGTTTCATGCCAGAACTTTGTTCCAATCACCTGGATTTGCTCATTAGCACAGTTTTTCAGCCAGGAGGTAGAACTAATTAGCGAAATCAGCTGGCTGAGTTCATGAGTGGAATAAACATATGGCAGGACTTTTACTTTCTGACCTCTGGATTTTCCACCTCTGTATATATATATATAATATATATACATAAGATAACATAACTCTGCCATAGCAACACCCAACTTAATCACTTGAACTTTACGCTTATGCAATTTATTCCTTTTCCATTCAAGGCATTAATTTAGTAGTTGTTGATTACTCTTGTCTATCTTTTGTTAATAACATCTATTTTATTACACTTGTGTCTTCCTTGTGTTGATAATACAGTAAGAAGTTATACAAGTTAGATATCCCACCAATCTTTCTTATCTGATGTACTCATAATGGCACCTCCAAAAATAATAATGTCATCATCATTGGTGAATACCCATCACTACACTATATCACCTCCGTAGGTGGGCAAAAGCAAAATCACTACAACTTTGTGGTGGTGTTCATGTGCGATCGACTTGTAAATATGATCTTTCTGACTTAAAGGTGGAGTAAGTGATTTTTCAAAAACGCTTTAGAAAACTGATTCGGGCCGACTAGCAAAACAAACTTGTGGCCAATCAGCAGTAAGGGGCGTGTCTACTCATGATGTGGAGGAGAGAGCGTTCAGTGCACAAGTCGGACATTAGCGAGCCGAGCGACAGAAAGAGAGATGGCGGATAAAAAACAAAAGAGGAAAACGTCTGTGGAACAAAAGAAGGCATTGGTGATTTCAAATGTCAACATTGGCTACCAGAAATCGCTTACCCCACCTTTAAATGCACACAGTGGAACTCCATAAATAAAGCATGTTTTCAAACAACCGTTGCAAACACCCCTTTCATGCATTATGCCTCCCCAACTCAAAAATTACAAACACAGCTCATAAAAACACCTGTTTTACACCATTGTCTATCTCTGTGTATTTTGCCAAGTCTTTGAAATTTGCTTGTAAGACCACTTTATATTATTGATTGCGATCAGGATAATGAAGAGACTTTCAACCAGTATTAAGAAAAATGTTTCTGGAAAAAATAACCTGCCCCAACTTTAACTGTTTTGAAAGCAAGAGCTAAGAAATGTGTGTGCATTTCTGGCAAATATGTAAGTTGAATTGCACGCTCACTGACCTTAGTTTGGAGAAATGTGTAAAATCTATTTAAATAAATGGTAACATAACACATTTTCACCATTCCTTAAAGGTTCCTTTCTCAAACTGCTCTGTTGAGTGTAAGGCGGGATATTCAAGGCAACCTGAAGGTTTTCATAGTTGCTGTTTTTCGTGTGAAAAATGTCCACCTAACAGCTATGTGAATTTTTCTCGTAAGTAGCTTATGCAGTAGACAATGACAACTTAGGATTTAAAGGGATAGTTCACCCAAAAATGGAAATTATTTTGAATAATGTTAGTAACCAAAGAATTTCGGTTCCTATTGAATTTTTTTTTTTTTTTTTCAGTTGTATTTTTATCCATACAATGAAATTCTGTGGAAATTGTTTGGTAACCGAATACCAACATTCTTCAAAATATCTTCTTTTATGTTCCTCAGAAGAAGTCATACAGGCTTGGAATGACATGAGGCTGAGTAAATGATGACAGAGTTTTCATTTTTGATGAGGACTATCCCTTTAAGCTTTTTCAGTTCATTCTACAATACTTTACTGGAGTGTTACAATTATTACAATGTTACAATTATTGCAATACTGCTACTAAACATTCATATTATTTTACTGTTTTTCAGGGGACCCCTATACCTGTTTTCCATGTGCAGAGAGTGAATGGTCTGATGAGGGCAGCACGACATGTAAGGCGCGTTCTGTTGTCTATCCTCAGTTCACAGAAATCCCCTCCATCATTGTCATGGTTTCTGCCGCATGCCTTATTATTCTCCTTATTGCCATATTTTGCCTTTTTGCTTACAATTACGATACACCAGTGGTAAAGTCTGCTGGTGGCAGCATGTGTTTCCTCATGTTGACCAGTTTGATTTTGTCTAGCATAAGTGTGTTCTTTTTCTTTGGAAAACCCACATTTGTATTTTGCCTTCTGAGAAATGCCATATTTGTATTTTTCTTCACTGTCTGTATTTCCTGTTTGACTGTCCGTTCCTTTCAAATTATTTGTGTTTTTAAAATGGCTGCTCAGTTCCCTAAAGTGCAAAGCCTTTGGGTAAAACACAATGGCCAGTGGCTCTTCATTGCATTTGCTACTTTCGTTCATTTAATTTCTTGTGTGGTATGGATGACTGTCAATCCTGTCAAAGCCATTGCTGACTCGTGGTCTTTTAAAGACCAAATTATGCTCATTTGTGAAATGGGGAACGCTATAACCTTTACCATAGTCGTGTTTTTAAGTTGGGTTCTTGGTTTCCTCTGTCTCTTGTTTTCGTATATGGGAAGAGATTTGCCAAAAAATTACAATGAGGCCAAATCAATAACATTCAGTCTCATTTTGTACTTTCTGACCTGGATTGCATATTTCACAGCATACCTCATTATCAAAAGCAAATACATGGTCATTTTTAATGCAATGGCCCAGATATCCAGTATAAATGGAATTCTCTTCAGTTATTTCATACCAAAATCTTACATCATTATATTCCAACAGCAAAAAAACACTCCTGCATACTTTCAAACATCTATTCAGAATTACACCCAAACCATTAGTAGGACTTAGACTCAGACTTTAATATTTGTGTATAGAAAGTTAACTCTTAAACTGTGTTTAGGTCTATTATGTTACCACGGTCTAAAAGAAACAGAAGTAGAGAAAACATGTAGGCAAAGTAGAGAATAGAGATCTATTCTGAGGTTCAATCTGCATTAAGAGACTGTGATTTTTGAGATTTATGCTTATAATGTAATGTAAATACAAAGGCTTCTTTTTAAACTTTTAATAAAGAACGTTTTCAAACTTCAATAATTAGTTTCCACATAATCCATATAGATTTGTGAAGTGTGGCTCATCTATCTTGTACAGTGCATGCATAATTATTATGCAAGTTGATATTCTTGTCATATTTTTTCCAAGCACATTTTACCAATTACAAACCACATCAATCTTAATAACTACTACTGTATTAATTTTGTATTTAGTCATTTATAAGTGATATATAATTGTTAATGTTACCTACGTCAAATCTGGGAAGCCTGAGTGGGTAAACTGAATGTACAACACGGGCCATACATATACTGGCTGCAGTCTTCGGCAATGTTTAATTGATTCTTACTGTTTTCTTTGATTTCAATGCATACAACATTCACATATTTAACTTTACCTAACAACGATTATTTATTCTTTGTAAAATCGCACATTTCAATAAAGACAGTTACATCTCAATAAAGGCCTTTCATTTGTGTCTTAAGTTCTGTAACATTACTATCAAACACAACACATTCACATTTTAAAGTATATTCAATCAAATATCCTGTATTTCACATCACCATAACATTCGTGAAACAATTAATCTAATTTTTAGACTGTCATACAAATGAATATAGTATTTCCCTTCACCCTATTCCCGTGTTTTACAGGTACGTCTCAATTTTTCCTCTAACTTGCATATATGCACCGCCATTTTGGCTCTACATAACTTCAAGTTGCAAACACACATTTAACTAATTTAAACGTTCTCATCCAATAACAAACAACATTGTAAACTCTTTAAAATCCATGAACTCTTTTAACATGTATATTTTGTCACATTACACTTTGCATTTAGATATTTGTCCCTTTTATGTCTGATAAATCGAGCACAGCGATAGTTCAGTCACGCCACGTAGGCATAGTGCAGCTGATACGGTCAGCTGACAAATCGCTCCAACCACTACCATTCTTCTATTAGACGGGGTATATACTGTATATACGTGACATTACAGCTCGGTAAGTATGCTCAAACTGCTCACAACCCTCCCTCCCATCTATAAGTTTCAAGCATATCATTGTGCACCTTCTGGGTGTCGTCTTCTTTTTGTTTCAGATTACCAAGGCTATCAAGTCCTAGCTGTCATGGGCCTCACTGCCGAGAGACATTCATTCTTCACAGCAAGCTACAGTGAAGTTGTCCCGGTATTCACTGCCATGTCTACATGTTACCACAGTTTAAGGCATTTAAGACATTACTTATGTTCTTAATCATCTGTATTTCACTCAGGCTGATGGTTCCGGGGGGTTAAGGCTGAAGCTCTCGTATGTGCAAATAATTATGGAGCGAGAACTCCCATAAGGAACCATACCGCCAAAGATAGCTTGTGTTTCAATAAACTCAACGTAACTTGCCAAAGTGGTCCTGCCTGAAATTAATCATTATTACTAAATTCGTATTACTGAACAGTCTTACTCTGTAACCCAACAAAGATCAACTCCTCATTTTTGAAATATAGCGTTTTACATCAGTTTCGACTGGTTTTTGAAATTTTGCTCACCTGTCGAATAATAAAAAGTGATGCTGTGAGACACAATACTGGCTGCAGTCTTCAGCGATGTTTAACTGATTATGACTCACCCAGTGCAATACGTTGAATCGATAGTGCTAATGCAATGCGATGCTTATTTAATTAGCTCATTCTCAGGTGAAATCACTGCTTGTGTTGTTACATCTCCCTCCTGAGCTGCTGGAGCATAAACTGAAACTCCGGTTTTCATTCTCCAGCAGGAGCACAGGAACCTCCTCCTTTATAATCACTGTGTAAATGCAGTCACACACCAGCCACAGCACACAGACACAAATACTGATGAATATGAACCATTTCTTACAATACGTGTACATGAATTCAACACATATATATATAAATCAGGCCTTTATAATACAACCCTCTTCAAAAAGGCAAGCAAATTTTATTAGAAAAGAAAAGTTCTGTGTGTTCATTCATTTATAAATCTAAATAGATGAACACAGACATTGAAAGGCAACATTAAATTCACATGATATTAGTTTTTATTACAGCAACAATTTTTTTGATTGTCTGAACTGTTTGATTACATTTGTGCTAATGTTTCAGACAAATATATGTGATATTTTGCAATCTAGGTGTATTTTTGTTTTATAAACAATGCTTAGACATGTACGTTTGTCTTTCAAAACTGTAATAATTCCGTATATGTTGATGCGAACAGAAGTGGTTATTAATTGTGAATTTTTGTTTAAAGTTAACAAGTATTTTTACAGAATTTGTTTTACAGACCACATAAATGTGCACACACATTGAAGAATAAATTACCATGGTAACAACTATATGTGTGCATTGTGAGTTTTGCACAAGAGGAATAAAAACAAAATCAGAATTCATAATGTTATCATTTCATCGGTAACACTGTACGATGCCAGATTTGTAAAGGATTATAATCCATATTTGACACACTATTTTTATATTTATATAAATATTTGACATTACAAAAATTATATTTAGTAACAGTTAGCCCATTTTGAGTTAAAAATTGTCAGTGATGTATATTAATGGGATGGATATTAATCATAAATTCCTATTAAATAGCTTTGAGGATCTCAAAGCTCTACAACTGACAAAGCTGACATTAGTTTAATCCCACATATTCAACACCATTCATATCAGTTTAATTGTTATTGTAAAACAGACAGTTGTGTATGAGTCATCAGGAAGAGACTGTCACAGTCATCAGCTGGTGTGCCCTAAATGGCCACCAGATGACACTGTGTTTTTGTTTTAGCACATGGCTTGTCTTGTGTTTGTTTGTGCTATTGGTTCAGTTGCTCCACATGTGTCACCCCGTAACCCTCCTTGGTTGCTCCCTATTTATTCTCCTTGTGTTTGCAGTCCTGTGGTGGTTTGTTGTGGTATGTGTTGTATGTACATGTTCATATACCTGTGTTGCTCTCTGTCTGGTCCTGCTCTGCCCTATCCTGGTCTGCTTGCCTATTTTCTCCCTCTGGGTAGTTTTTGTTGGTTTTGTGTTTGTTTTTTGTTTTTTTTCTGTTAATAAAGAGCCCATACATTCTGCATCTTTGAGTCCTCGCCTCATCCCTTCACCAACCATGACAGAGACGTCACATAAACATTGAGTGTAAGATGAGCTCTCACTTATGCGAACATTAGAGGAACATTCCATTCTATCATTTTGAAAATGTTATGAATATGTTATTTCTGAATGTTTTCACCTATTCCACCATCTCAAGCCACAGGCAGGGGAAACACTCTGCTCTCCTTGGGCTCCAACCAGGGACCTTCTTGCTCTGAGGTAACAATGACACCCACTGAGCCACTGTGTTATCCTGCTTATAGCTATGTTGATATTAATTCACATGATGAAATTGGCTAAAATCTAAGCAATTAATTTCTTAAAGCTACAGGTATGGATTTCATATTAACATATAGGGTAGAGTCGGGGGAAAGCCCCCTTGGGGTAAAACTCCCCACTACTGTTTTTCCCAAAATAACCACTAGATAAAGTCAAGATAATCTTTTGTTGTAACTTTGGACTTCGCTGCCAAGAGTGATGTAGAAGTATTCAATTAAGTATCATGAAGCTTACACTGGTGATGTGGCCTACCTGAGAGAAAACCGATTTCACAGTAAGTGATCTCATTTTCAGCAGTAAGAAAAAAAAGTGTTTTAAAGCTTTTTGTTTTATAGAACATCACAGTTATATATGATTTTAGTAAGGTCTGTAGATAGGGAACATGTGTTATTTAAGGAAAATATTATTATATTTTAAGAATGACATCATTATTTTTTCAAGCCAAGTCTGTGGGGTAAACGTCCCCATAGGGGGCATGGCTGAAGTTACTGTAGTTACTGTGTCCTGAACAACAAATCCTTTGTTTTCCCATTAAATGTATTCTAACTAGGTGGTTGAATACAAATATTTGGACTTTATATTTAAAAATGACCTCAAGTTAGCATCAGATAGCTAGTTATCTAGCCAGTTAGCGTCAGCTAACAATATTTTTCAAATAGGCTATTATAATTTTATAATTCATAATTATTAATTATATTCTTTTTAATTTTAATCTAAAACTGCCTGTACTGTCATTTTGCTGTAAATTTATAAAGCAAATTGCTTTGTAAGACTGGGGGGCATTTTACCCCACCTGTGGAGCACCCCTTGGCACAAATTCGATTGTACCATTGTAAAAACTCTGGACATTTTTCATACTTAGTTTAGAATTGATGTCATTGTCACTAAAACTATGATAACTATTCTGGACACATTTAACTTTTGTTTCACAGGAAAAAAATAGTTAGTTCACCCAAAAATTAAAATTAACCCATACATTACTCACCCTCAAGTCATCCTAGGTGTATATGACTTTCTTCTTTCAGACGAATCCAGTCGGAGTTATATTAAAAAATGACGTATAAGGTCAGCTTTGCGCATGCGCTGCTCAGAAGTGACACACGCGGAAGCGCAGGGGAGAGATCAAAACAAAACAACGGACACTAATTAGAAGTACAAAACGAGGATTTGTAAAGAAGAATGTCGGAGGATTTCGATATAAGCCAAGAGGAGACTG